TTTGTTCAGTTTTTAATTCCCTTTCGAATGAATTATTGCTCAAAAAGATTAGACATGTCGTTTTTGAGTTATAGTTAAAATACTAAAAAGTTGTAAGAGACATAGGTGTGTTCGAAAAATGTTCGGGATCCTTCGAACAAAAGGTCATAATTTCTCAGTCGAAAGCTCAAAATTTGGATCTACACGTTATTCGGTATAGGGAATCGAATGAGAATACTTTTAGAGAGAAAAAAAATTCAGCTTGTTATGACGCTTTTAGCAGGTGCTTGATGGGCTGGTGGAGCGTCTCTTAAGTACACAAAAAAACCAAAATTTGGGTGAATCTGTATTCCATTAAATGTATAACCATATAAAAGTTTGGTCTACAAGTTTTTAATAAATAACAGTGAAGATATGATTTGGATGATTTCTTTTTAGATTGCGAAAAATGACAAAGGAACACACAAAAATGGCACGCCAGAAGAGAGACGAGAAGAAAAAGAATGAGACAGGAAAAAAAAATTTTACTTACAAGATCTAGAATAATAGATGATCTAACGCAAAAAATGTAGTGTCAAAGAAGTAAAAAACTGTCTACTATGAAAAGAATGTTGTGAACAGAAAAATGAAAAACTATATACATCACTAGCGAAAGCGCTGCGTCAAGAAACCACAAAACTGACAGGTATTGTTTCGAAAAAGTATATGATTGGTCGTTATAGTGTCATTAGTAAAAAACATTTCAAACTCTTCTAACACAGTTTTTCTTACATTATTATATTGATTGGATTCCAAAAAAAAATGATGAATTGCTTGCTCCAGTAGATGTCCACATTCACAAGATGCATTGCCGATGATCATAATGATCATTGAGTTGACAGCATTCTGTTTAAAAATGGTGGAAATTTAGTGTTTAAAGTGGAGTTGTTTTTCATTTTTTCGTGAAAATCTCGGTAATTATTCAGCGTGGAAATTCGAAAAACGTTAAAGTAGTAGGATATAGATAAAATTATACATTAGTCGATTGCGTTTTTGATCCTAATTTCGAATATGATATTTTTATTGCATCAAAAGTAAGTTCTCATGGAGAAAATTGATGAGTATCAGCAGACTTCTGACTTTTTCGCGTTTGATTTAACAAACAACGAAAACCGCTCTATAATTTTTTTCCGTAGGCCTAATGGATAAAGTGGAATAAAAAATATTGTTCTTATTTATATCTGTAGAGAACTGATGGGTCTGCAAAATACACAGGGCTATACCAGCCGTTCTACTCAGATTTTACGAATTCCGTCGGCGTTTTAGTTTCCAAAAACGTTAAGTCAGTGTTTTATACAGAGTTTTGCATACTAAATATGGAAAAAAGGAGGTTTACAATTTTAAAAAGACATCAAACTAGAGCATTTCCTTATTTTTGAAAAATTCACCCATTGTTGCGTATTCTTAATAGAGCAGTATTTTTGATTTCTTTCTCCCAAAAGTAAGTGTTAAAAATCTGAACTTGATCTTTTCCTATGCAACTCACCGAGATCTATCAAACCGTACCAAAGAAAACGAAAAGAATTCTGCTTGAATTTCGCATTACCGGCACCTAAAAAACTTTTTATCATTCTTTATGTCAGTTGATAAATAATTCCATAATTTGATGGTTGAAGAAATAAATGTTTGTTCAAGGTATTGATTTCCACGTTTAGAAAGAGAAAGCTGATTTTACTTTGATTACGTCAAATGTAAGAGTGAGCGGTTAGGATGGTAATATGTGTTGCATACAGAATTTACGTTTCATAATTTTGCAAAACGCAGAGATGATGAATTTCAAAAAGATTGCATGCCTTAAGATTTGGAAGTGTTTTTAAGGGTACACCCGTCAGAAATTCCAATTTTCTCTAAAAGTTGCGGTATGGGGTTACGCATCTGGTTGGATAATCATTGGTATCTACCTTCATAATCCATCTTGAAAAATTCCGAGATTTCTTGTGTGTTTTAAGAGCTAAAAACCTCAGATTGGTCTTGAAATGTAACAAAAATTTTTCTAGTATGTAACAGAGTCTAAATTGTGTTTTTCGTTTTTTCCCTGCGAGGAAAATAAAGAGTTTCCAATAAGTTAGCAAGGTTTTTCTTCATTTTTCGAAAACTTGTTATTTTCTGTAAACTAAAAATAACAGTTTTGTATCACACACGACTCACATATATATACACAGTCATGCGCCTTTTAGACTGCGAAAAATGACAAAAGAACACACAAAAATGGCACGCTAGAAGAGAGAGGAGGAAAAGACAGAACAACAAGCAAAAAGAACAAGACAGGAAAAAAATGTTTACTTGCAAGATCTAAAATAATAGAGACATGCGAATTCAGAACTTTTTATTCTACCTTACCTTATTTACTACATTAATGTATCTACACCACCTTAACTTAGCAAAGGCTGAGAATACTCAGAGAAGTTTTACATTTTCCAGTTCTTTTGACTTCTCAGAGAAAGATAATTTTCTCAGCTATGATTAAAAGATTGAGAGAATACTAGCACGGATAGAGCCTGCAGACCAGCTAAATAAAAACAGTAAGAATCATATGTTATTTGTACGTAAGATCGTATATGATCGTGCGCAATCGTACGTACAATCTTTTGGAATCATAACATTTCGTACGTATGAGCATGTACGGTCAGATAAGATCGTACCATTTCATATGTATCGCGTAATACGATTATTCAAGATCATATTTGCCCATGTACGATCATGTAGTATGATCATATCTGTTCGTATATAATCTTGTACGATCCTCAACCTGGGTAATATTGTTTTTACAGCACAAAGGGTGTCTACTAAGTTTTGATCTCCGTAATAGAGATGTGCAACCTGATCCGTACCCGACCCGAAGGTTGGGTACGGGTACGAAGTTGTCGGGTACAGGTAGAGCAGTTACGGGTATGGGTTCCGTTTTTTTCTTATGTATCCGAAAACCGGAAGGTTTTAGTGGAAAAAGACAAGACTTTAGCTAAAATATATGAAGTTTTAAAAAGCAGTTACTTGAGAAGGTAATGATAATTTGTCATCTCCAGGCGAAAAAAAACGTTTTTCAGCTCAAAAATGAAAAGGAGAACATTTTTAGGCATAAGCCGGAATTATACAACATCCACAAGAATTTTATTGTCTTGCACGAGAAATCTACTTGGTGAGAGAAACTGAGAATATCCATACTTTAATCTTTCTGAGACTTTTACTTTCGCAATGGAACTTTGAGAATTACCACGACAACTACAATCTGCGTACGCGAGAATTCTAGTCTCTTTTCTACTGGTGTGAGAGGAACTGAGAACATCCCAAATACATTCTTCACGAAAATCTTAATTTTCCACCGGAACTTCCACAATTTCCACGAGAATTTTACTTTTCTACAGGAGTTTTGCCAATTATCACGAGAAATTTAGCCTGTGCATACCAGAATTTCAGTCTCTTCTACGAGAATTCTACTTGTGAGAGAGCAACTGAGAACATCCCTAACACATTCTTCACGAGATTCTTACTTTTCCCCATTAATCGTGAGAATTACCAGCAGATTTTTCTATCCACATCGTATTCACCTGGCTTTTATTTTTAGCGTTACAAGGCGCTTGAATATCGTCAAAAACAAGATTTTTTTCTAATAGCATCGCAGGTTTCATTTGTACTTCATTGTTTTTTTCGTTTCTTTTAATAACGATATCCTTTGTAAATACCAAAGTTATTGTGTGTTGTACAGCAGGAAATTCAGTATCTTTGAAGCATAGAATGGACGGTTGAACCTATGCTTCAGTGTCCAAAACATTAAACAAAAGGTTCTGACAAACGAGCGCCTCGGAATGGTTTTCTGAATAAAAGTGTACTAGTTTGCCTGGAACCCTTTTTTCAACGGAACCTTTAGAGATTTCGAATTCGTTTCAAAAGGATAAGCCTTCGAAGGTTTGGTAGAGAACCATTTATTTTTACAGAGCACCTATACGCAATGAAATAACATAATGTCACAAAGGCATAACTTTTTAGAGATGATATTGCGTGGCTTGACTTCATCTCCTGCACGTCACAAATAACCGCAGTTAAACTGATGAGATCACTTATTAATTCAATCTCTGCATAATAGTTATGGGATAATTGCACTTCGTTGTGCTGACTTAAACTAAAGTAGAACTCCTGATTCCTTTAGCCTGTGAAGGGCCCTAAGATACTTATAACCTTACAAAGAACTCATCAGCTTAATTAATTTAATAGAATTCTTCAAAACAGCTGTCCTATTGGACAAGCCTCCCGCATTAAGTGTGCATGGAGGAGTGTATGTAGCAAAACGAAACGACATTTACGGTATGTACATTTATAACAGTATATTTATTTTCTTATATGATCTCATCTACTTTTTTTGCCTGATCTAATTTTATTCAACCTGACTGAAAACGTTTCTTTCTTGTTGATAGCTTTTTCTCGATGTTTTTGTTTGCAGGTCATACACCAACCTCATTGGTGAAATATTTGAATTGTCATCGTACTTTGATTGACTGATCTCATTTTTCATTTCATTTCCGCTGTCACAAAATGATAAATATTCTCTTTTAAAACAAAATGCTAATAAAGAAGTTTATCATTTCAACAACAATAGTATTTTGATGCTTATGTCAGTTAAACATGTTGCGTTCTTATACAATAATATTATTTCTTATCTCTAATGTATCAAGTGAATTCATCTTACATGATACCAATCAAGTCGTAAATCGAACGAAAGTAACAGGACGCAGTGAATATCATTGTTTATATTCATATACGAAAGAAAACGATGGTCGGTATGTAATGATACCATACTGTATTCGTTCGACAGAAGAAGAATTAATAGATGACTACAAACATGAACTGTATCTGTTAAATGATACAAACATTAAGGGCCAACGATTTTCATTTCAAGATATGAAACAGAACAATATAACAATTGGTCAATTGTTTCGTTGGAATGCTCCACTTGACAAGATAGAACAGTATGACATTTATTTTAAAAATACAGCATCAACAATAGTGAAGGATCAGGATTATTATTATAACTGTACTAGACCATGGTTTGGACCAAGATGTCAATATACGTTCGATCTGGAGAGTGATGAAAAAGAAGAATTTAGTGCAATTGTTCATCAACTATTTAAGAAGAAACATGTGTCAAAACCTGATTGGATTGTGCTAATAACCAATGGGACCTGTTATACGAACTTGATATGTGCCAGCATTTTATGTCTTGATTGGCGCGAAATATGCGATCAAAAGATCGATTGTAGTATTTGGGACGAATTCATTCATCAAGTCAATTGGGAGAAAGCAAAATCAAAAAAAACTTTAATTGAAGAACTTAAACGAGCTGTAAATCGAATTAGACAAGAAGTTGTGCTAGAAAGTTGTGAAAGTTGGACAAAGAGATTGTATCGTTTATCAAAAAACAACGGAGATTATTTACAATAATAAAGACACAGATTTTTGTAGAGGATCGAACGGGGAATCTTTTTAAAAAAAAGTTGAGTCGATAGGATGAATCCTCACGAAGTTACACGCAAAATACCGGAGTGCGTTTATTTCTGCGCCACCCGTTACATGGCGTGGTCCGCAAACTGACCTGTATGTTGCTGATTCTTTAAGTTTGACACAGGGATCTATCGATTTTTGTCATAGAGAGATAGTCTAAAGTGTCCTCTACAAAATATGGCCTAACAAAAGTTGCATTTTGCTGGATTCATTTTTCCTGGAGTCCTGAGACTTCTGTATTCTTCGGTGTGGGAAAAAAAAAAGCGCTTGGCATAGATTATCGACTTCGCTAAACCTCATGGCAATACTAGTTTTCAGAATAAAATGCAAGAACTAAGCAAAAACCTTTACTAGGAGAAGTAATCCATTTTTGGCTAATTTTATAAAAAATTAAAGTTTTCCTAGCTCGGTAAAAATCCATCCAAACTACTTCGGAATATCAAGAGGTACTCTATTTTATATGCTCAGTCTGATTCTGCACTTTAGAGATGTTCAACGAGCGCATTAGAAAATTGCTTAATATGGTCTAAAATTTAATTTTCAATCTAACTATGTCCATTACATTCTCCGCCTAAAGTTACCTACAAATACAAACTTTTAGACGTTAGTAACATTTGGTTGCTCAGTTATGAATTTTTTAGGAAGCGGTGTTAGGAGACACTTTTTCAATTCATGAGCAAGAATCAAGTTTTCTGGAAATGATCAGTTTCAACCTTCATTCGCCTATGTGTTTTTTATGTTGGTTCTACTTTGTATCTATCTGTTATCTTTCGTTCGATTCTAACCGTTCATGTCTTTTTCTTCACATATGACTTTCGTTCCACTTCTTTTTCGTTTCTCGAATATATCTATGTACAACTCTACCTTTCCGTTTCTATTCTATAATAGGTATCATATCATATTCTAGGTCACAATAACCTATACTTTGTATATAACATTTTTCCCACTATTGTTGCTTTGTTTTCAACGATATCACTTGGATATTCTCGCAGATGTTGTGGAATTTTTCCGTTTATGTGGACTCTTGTTCAAAATACTATATATAGAGATGTTTTCTAAAAGTGTGTGTATGTGTGATATGTAGTGGTTCGTTCATATTGAATGCCGGCGTTGAGTGTTATATCAGCAGTCACTGTCATACCTTCCTCTTTCTCATTTCTCATGACAAGAAAGAATGTTGAGTCAGATATTGTTGACTCAACATTCTGTCTTCATCCATATATATTGTTGGTACACATCGGAAGTTAGTAATTATTTTGATGTTTGTGAGTTTATTCTTACGGATAAAATCAGTGACTCGCATTACACATGAATAAATATTCTTGGCCCTCAGCTAGTCATGACGAGAAAAAGCAGTACAGTCGTGCATAAGTAAAGTGCACTTGCTGTTTTGCTGTTATTTTTCCAACTTAGAAAACGTAGGTAATAGTCTTCAAAAGAAAAAACAAATGTCTAAAATATTAATATTCAAAACACAAGCGCAATTTGTTTTCTTTATTAATTCGACAAAAAATTGTGTAAAAAGGAATAAAAATATACTCACTTATTTAGCCTCTATTAAAACCTAATTTAACATGTACACACTAAACATGATGTGGAAATAAATAAGAAACTGTATAAAAAACATGACGAGTAGTTTGTTTTTCGAAGACGGAGAAAGTAACATATTAGGTCTATATAAGACACTGTGAAGCATTCATCGGTTTTCATTTTGTTTTGATAAAGTCAAAAGTATCAGAAGAGATCTCAAAAGAGATCGAAAATGAAAATTTTCCTCGGTATCATCGTTTTGCAAGCTCTGGCGTTCGGAGAAGGTAAGGACTAACGCATTGCAGAAACAGATCGAACGTTGATAAGTACGTTTTTCTTTTAGTTCACTCTCAATGTCCGATTGTCACCTACACTGCACCTGCAAATTGTTTAACTACAAGCTCTCCACCAATTAAATTGGACTCTGCTTTCACAATGTCAATGAATTCGATCTGTTCAGCTGCCACAGCCTGCTCAGTCAAGCTCTACATTACAAACTCCTACCGTTATCCAGGTCAAGTGCTCTCAGGACAAGTTGTTGCAGCAGCTGGAAATAGTAATCATAAAATTGGACATGCAATTGATATAAATGTACAGTACAATGGTAATTCTATCTGCAACAGTAAATGTTTGGCAGCTACATCGTCTCTCCCAAGTTCAGTTCAATGTTTTATCTCAAAAATCCGTTCAACATCTGGTTTGAGATATGGCGGTGATATTACACCAATAGATGTTGTTCACATTGACGACAATTTTAATAACAATTCACCTGCGCAGTATCAACAATTGTACACTCAGATTGCGACAAACTGTGGGAATGGTAGTGCGCCTACGACAACACGAGCTGCAATAACTGCAAAACCTCCGGTTACACAGCGACCACCACAAACACAAAAATCCTCAAGTGGAAGTGGCAGTGGAGGAGGAAGTCAAACCAAACCATCAAATTCAGGTAGTGGTACAACTGGTACTCCCAAGTATGATGGAGATTCAACGACAACGCCAGGAGATGACGACGGAGACACAACAACATCACCATCGTATGATGAATACGATACAGACACACCGTCAACAGACTCAGACTACGATCCGACAGATTCAGTCACAGATGCTCCTGTCACCGATGATCTAGTACATCTTCTAAACTTTTCTGAAAGACTCTTCTTAGAGCCTTTTTCAAATACATCATCATTTGAAAAATAATTTATCTGTGAATAGCAAGGCTGTTTTGTAACTTTCATTTTTTTGCTTCTGATACTGGGAACTCTTTATTTCTAACATTTCCAGTAAATAATACGAAAAAACAGCTAAAAGTGCCTACGTAATTATCGAACGCTTGCAAACTGACGCACCTGTGACAGATCCAGTTGAAACTGACGCACCTGTGACAGATCCAGTTGAAACTGACGCACCTGTGACAGATCCAGTTGAAACTGACGCACCTGTGACAGATCCAGTTGAAACTGAC